ATTGAAATGAAGTTTAATTTAATTTAATATTACTTCAAATCCTTTAAAATCCCATGGATAGTAAAACTAGGGAGCGCTATTTGGTGTATCTATTTTAGAAGACAAGTGCCACGCGCGCGCAATGAGTTGTGGGATATCGCGTATCAAGTATCGAGTGTGATTTGCAAATTTTTGATTTTTTCGTTTGGATACTGATTTCGCTCAACAAAAGCTATATTCCGCTCAAGAAAAGGTATAAATGGTATTGGATAAGTGACTGTAAGTCTTGCTAAAGGCTTATTGATCTCAGGTATGTATTATTACTCTTTATATCATATAATTATAACGTCCATCGACCCTTTTATTTCATTTTATCTTGTGGCTGTACTAGCCTGACTGAACATGTGGCTGCTAAAATTTGAATTTGCGCGCGCGAGATTTTATATATTGAAATTGTTTCATTTCAATGCTGCCAAATATTAGTTAAAACCAACAATTCAAATTTTGAATAAGCACATTATATAGTGTATTATTTGAAACAATATGTGAAATGTGAACATGAATGTAAATATGTGTTTGCTACAAAATGGCTTACAAGCCTATTCATACCAAAACATGAGAATTAAACCTTGACCTAGCCTTGGCCAGGCCAAGGTACATTAAATGTGGCATGTTTACACCATTACACTATTTTTTGAGACAGGCCCGCTTTGGCCAAGAATTTTGTTATTAATTTTGTGTATTTTTATGTGTTGTCATGTTGTCCGCTGGTTGTCTGCTAATCTCTCACTGGGGACACACATTGCCATAAAAATAAGGCCCCGGCCAGGGCCGAAAGTGTTTACATTTACACAAGCTTAGGCCAGGTCTGTTGTAGTGAGTCCAGATTTCCTGGCCTAGGTCAGGTCAAGGCTAGGCCATTTCCACAAGCCTAGGCTTCAAAGGCCAAGTCGGTTGTAGTGAGCCCAGATTTCCTGGCCTAGGTCAGGGCAAGGCTAGGCCAAAGTCTGTTTACACTGTCAAAATGTTGGCCAAGGCTGGTAGTGTAAACAAGACTATTGAATGCATCAAGGCACATTACGACTAAATGGTTAAAGTGTTTCCCACAATATGGTAAAAAAGTATATACTTTTGCTAGCTTGAGCTTGAAGGATCTTCCAAGCTAAACCCTTCTAGAGTATACCCTGTACTGTATATATGTGCCTTTTTATATGATAATGGCACGAATGGACAGTAGGTTATAATCCAGGATGGTGTGTTTAATATAGACACAATACACCCCACCTGGCAGGGATGATAGAGTGCTTATGTTCATGAGTTTCTTGTCCTGGCAGGTGGGATCCTGTCTAGGCCAGATAGAAGTAGAATAATTCACTAAACAGTTGATACAGTTCATATTGCCAGCTGGGTCATGCCGACGGGATCATAATAATTACAAAGTGGCTACATTATGATGCTTATGATGTTACTCTGAGTGCATATCCACACCGGGCAAGCTTGAAAAATATGCCTGACCACGGTGGGAATCGAACCTACAACCTTTGGAATACTAGCCTGGCAATAGTCTGCCAACAGGGGCCGGTTGTATAAAACTCTTAATCACTTTTTTAATCACTATTTTGTAGTTAAATAGTGATTAACTCTCAAATACGCGCTTCTTATTGGATGACATTTCCACTTAACTATGATTAACTTTAATCACTTTTTTATACAACCGGCCCCTGAGCTTTAGCGGTCAGATCGGTTCGAATATGTGATATTTCGGAATGTTCAGAATCTAGTTCCTTCGATATCTATGTAATCGAAGGAACTAGAAAAATCATTACTGATTATTAGAGGAACTAGATTCTGTTCCGAAATATCACATACATTACTGTATTTGAATCAATCTGTCCGCGTAGGTCAGTTGGCAGAGCATTGGGCTAGTATTCCAAAGGTCATAGGTTCGATTCCCACCATGGTCAGGCATATTTTTTAATTACGCTTGCCCAGTGTGGATATATACTCAGCGTAACATCACAAGCATCATATTCCTGAGTACATTACACCAACACAGAAAAATCATTACTGGCTACAGTATATCTACAGGTCCTTAAACAGATTTTGCCAGGCTATATTTACAGGCTTACAGCACTCTTACGTACTAAACCAGAACTATAAAATTTATTATTAATGAAGGATTTCAGCGAGCTCAAAAATAGATCAGAAGCTTAGGCAGATGGCTGCTGTGCTACAGTCTGTGGTTCAAACCCGAGTTGGGACAGGTTTTTTTCAACTTACTGTAACTAAAAATGTTTAACTTTTTTTCTGATTAGTTTTATTTTGGGGGGTAGAGGTTAGGGTTAGTTTTGTTTAATTTGTCTTTAACAATAAATACAACCTGTGTGGAGACTAAGAATGAGAGTGCCATAAATATACCTTGGTGAAGTTTGTTTACAGGCTTGAAGATATAGCCACTTTGCAATAATTATTTACAAAAGCAATTTAATTTTTAAATGGATCAAATGATTGGATAATTACTGCAGACTTTATAAAAACAGTCTAAGCTACAACGGCATAAAATTAGTATTCTTTTTACATGTGCATCCAAAGCTAGATTAAATTAACTTATAAATAACTATTAATTACAAGAGTATGCACCAGCATACTTGATGATCTACTTAGCCTTGAGAGTAAAATGGTCTGGCATTAGACAGAGTACAATAATCTGGCATTTAAAAGACAGTAAAATAAGGAAGTAGGACACACAAGGGTACAATACAACTTAATGGGTTCACTAGACACATAGCCATATTAACCCAACAACAGGAATACCCTGTACTTCTCAAGAAGTTTGGCAGGTCATTAAGATGGGGAGTTAACTGGATATTATACTAGGCTGGACATGGCATAAGCTGCATTGTGCCACAACTTTATTCTTTTACTGTGTCTGATGGGTCGTTCCAGAAAAGATCCACTCTCCCCTGGGCACAGAGGAAATTTCAACCGTCCGGAGGGGAGGCGAGGGGAGAAAAAATTGTTTCTGAAGTGTATAAGGACATTCAAAGGGGATAGGTGGTTAACTTCCAATTTCCTTCATGGGGGAGGTTAGGTATCGATGTTCTCTGGAATGACCCAATGTCAGATGATTTTACTTGTCAGTGATATCACTCAGTGGGTTACTGAAACAAGTAGCACTCCTCTCCAATATAACTAAGGTTAAATCATATAATCTTATGAATCTATTCAATGTTTTCTGGAACGAGCCAATAGCATATTAAATCACAAATGCCAACAACCAGTTACCAGTAGCAGATACCTCGCAAAATATTGGGGGTGCTGTTGAGATGTCTGTTAACAAATCCTATCTAGTGCATATTTCTCTTGTTAACCCATTCACTGGCAATATGCTCTACTTTATATTACTCTGTCCAATGGCAGGAAATTTTACAGTTTTACTTGTTGAGAAGATAGCCTTGCAGCAGTTTCCAATTTGCCATGTATCGCCCACACAGAGAATACATTACTGGGGACAAGTCAGGGTAAAAGCCATATGAACCAAGGGTTATCAATTATGATAATACTAGAACCAACTTCAACCAAAGGTTGGGTTGTGCTACTGCATTAGATCTTCCCAGTCATAATAATGTGCAAAGTTGATAGGTTGGACAGGAGGGAATTGCTCATATTGCTGCATGTGAACTGTGAACTTGTGCTATATACTGTAATGTTAACTGACTGTGGAGTTCCAGTACCGGTACATGAAATACAGTATGTAGAGCTAATGATAGTCTTGTATTTCCTTTCTTATAGCTCATGTGACTAAACGTTTTGCGGGAGCAACAGCTTCATCATTGAAAGCTGCCATGGCCCAAAAGTGCAAAGAGAAAAGAAATGCTGATACGAAAAGAAGAAAAATTGCAGAAGACATTTGAACTGCTAAGTTTTTTCCTTATTATAAACTTATTTTGTATGGTAGCTAAACATTTGTAGAAATTAACTATATTAATAAATTATTTATACTTCCTATATATACCATTAAAGTACCTCACTGTTTGACAGGTTTTAAATGTGCATGATTGAAGCTTTGCATAATTTCACATGTGAAACTGGAACATGTGATATTTCACATGTGTATTCGGACATATCAACACATGTGAAATTATGTGTTTCACATGTAAAGTTTCTCATGTGAAATTTCACATGTGAATTTGGAACATGTGACTTTTCACATGTGAACACATGTGAAATTATGTGTTTCACATGTGAAGTTTCACCTGTGAAATTTCACATGTGAATTTGGAACATGTGACTTTTCACATGTGAACACATGTGAAATTATGTGTTTCACATGTGACGGTTCACATGTGAATTTGGAACATGTGATTTGTCACATGTGAACACATGTGAAATTATGTGTTTCACATGTGAAGTTTCACATGTGAATTTGGAACATATATATATATATATATATATATATATATATATATATATATATATATATATATATATATATATATATATATATATATATATAACTACAGACGGTACCGTTACGGCCTTTTTGGCCTCATCGCAGTGTAGTGCTGATATAAACAGGCTGAAAGTATAACTAATATTGATAGTTACCTTTGATGCCTCACGAATGTGGAACATCAAACCATGTCAGAGTGCTCAAACTGCAAGCAGTGAGCATGCGCACAATGCGTAAGCGGCAATAGGTCATTCGTAGATGACTAGACATTTTGATTATAACCTCAACAGTTCTTATACTCGCCAGATTGGAATGTAAATCTAATCTCAGTAGTTCTTATACTGGCCAGATTGGAATTTGATTATAATCTCAACAGTTCTAATATAATAGCCAGATTGGAATTTGATTATAATCTCAACAGTTCTTATACTAGCCAGATTGGAATGTAATTGTAAATATACTAGCCATAGTGGAATTCTAGTCTCAGTAGTTCTTATACTAGAAAGAATGGAAAGTCAAATTCTTACTTACAAATCGGGAATGTAGTTGTAATCTTTTAATATTAGGTGACCCTCTAAATATTCTGTTATATTCTTTTATATTATTGCAATATAATGTTCATAGATTTAGCTATATGTAGATGGTAAGGTAGGTTACTGTTTATATAAATAACAAAGTTATTTCTTATAAAAACGGGCAAGCAGTGTTGGGATGTTATCTGTCCAATTGAAAAGACATTCTTCTGCGATATTTCGATTTATTCCTTCAATCACCATTATCAATTTAACAAACGCCTAGAACAATTATAGAAGGTAATATCAAATTTTGCATGTATATTTTTAGAATACGTGAATGGAAAACAGTATGATACAGTATGATGCATGCAAAATAGAAGTAGCTAATCTTTCTTCACTCATGCCAGTAATTCTAAGTCAATTACCTCGGGTAAAAGGACGATTTGACAGTAGTCAATTCTTTCTGATCTTTTATCTGTCCATTTGTGATCTGGAGAGAGGAACAGCCCCATAACTATGTCGCTGAATTCGGCGAACTACAATGTATAGAACAGCAAGTTTAAATTGCCATACTGCTCAATGAGGGCAAGAGGTCTTATTTAATGCGATAAGCATATACATATATACCTGGTGTCCCAAAAAAAGTACTCCGGTTTGATTCGTAATAACTTCTAAACAAGGAAAGCTTTTAAAGAGAAATAACTTGCATCAAATAGAGAAAATACTAACTTAGATTTTGATATATTACAGTTGTATTTCACTTAAAAATTCAAGGAGATATTAATGTTTAAAATCGGAAGTATATTTCTGGATATGTCTGAAATATGCAAAAAACGGCGTATCAAATATTAATCAAGATTTGCTCGACTGAAACATGCACTATTACCAGTAAATAAATGACACTTGACAAATTGTTTATTATGAAACAAAGTATTATTATCTACAAAATACAAGCAAGATTTATTCGTCCGAAATCCGCGTGTGTTCCTAGCACGAATACGTTTCCTTATTTCATGAGACCACTGCATCGCGAAGGATCGTCATGGATCGTTCGTAGTTCTGAATTAGGGCATGCTGTCACAATGGAATTGTGAAGCTCTTCTAACTTCTGCAACGTTCTGAAATCTTGTTAAGAACACTCAAACTCTTTTGCCTTTTCTTAATCTTGTTAAGTTCAGAATCAACTGAGAATGAAACACAATCAAACCATACAACTCCATAAGACATAACAAGCAACTCCCCAGAGACATCCAACATTTTTGGAACAAAACGTAACAAAATAGTAGCGTTGATCCTGTCATGTGTATTTGCAAAAAGCAATATTATTTCCTTCATTAAAGAATAATATTCATCTTGCTCTAACCGAGATATAATCAACTCTCTTTTGAACCCATGAAAAACATAAAAAATTAGGCTATTTAAGAAAAATTTAAGCGCCTGCCTTGCATGGTCTTTCAGGTACCTTTAAGATTGTAAAGACCTATACTTGGATAATTTCGAAGGTTCATGTTTCAGGAAACAATGAGCTAAGACTTACATGTAAGATGTCTAAATCTACACCAAACTTACAAACCCTAACGACAATTCGCTGAAATACAAGTTAGCCTGATATGTCATTAAGCAAACAAACGCTGGAGTTAATATTTAACATGCCGATTTTCGCTAATTTAGACACATCCCAAAATATGCTCCCGATTTTGAACATTAATATCTCCGTGAATTTTTAAGTAAAATACAACTTGTAATATATCAAAATCTAAGTTAGTCCTTCGTCTATTTAATGCAAGTCATTTCTGTTTGATAGCTTTACTTGCATGTTTAGAAGTTATTATAAATCAAACCGGAGTACTCTTTTTTGGGGGGAACCCGGTACATTCCACAAATATTTGTCTTACCAAATCATCTGTTAATGGCAACTCAAATCCTGCAAATAAATGCTGGTTTACAAAACGTCTTTCCCGTCTGGAATATTTAGTCCAGATTACGTGGCGAATGCTTGCTACTTTTTCCGTCACAACATTTCGTAAATGTTTCTATAAATAAGATGACAAAAAAAACCAAAGCAATCACTTCATCACAAATCTCTACTCATTAGAGATTACAATATATATTGAACAATTCTATATAGAGATTGTTTTCTCCTGCAAAGATTTTGGTTAAATTTCCAACCTCTATTCCTAAAATTAATTGTTTCGCAGGAGAGAGAAACCGGGTTTTCAAAAAGGTTTTTTTCAGTGAGTTCTATATAGATCGGATAAAATATGATTCTGCCTTTTCTAGCGCAATGAACAGTTGACCAACAAAATGAGATGGGATCAAATATATCAACAAATATATGCTGGACAAACCTCAACTTCTGGAAGGACTCCAAGCATGCTGCCAAGCTCATGATACTGAATTTTATCACTTCTAGATTATATCGAAGATAGAATAATCGTAATAAATTGACGGGAGTCAAAGGCTTCAGAAAAAGTTATAAAGTAACCAGCAATAAGTTCTTCCCTTTGGCTATGGTATGTGGCACAGTTAATATTTTATCAAAACTGGACAAACATGTAATTACGTTATTCTATTTTCGCACTTTTTACTGTCAAGGCTAAGGGCATTTTTGCAATTTCATTCTATTCTCTTTGTCAAAAACCGGCAATGAAACCATCAATTAACGTAAGGTTTCTATTGTACCTTACTATATTTTCTCGTTCAAACTTTGAGCAGCCACAAAACCATTTCCTTGGCAGCTCTACAGCATCATCGACACCAACACACTGTAGATGAAACCATTTCCTACACTTTGGGGAATCACATTGAACCCGTCGTAGCTCTGCATTTGGTGCTTGAGAGTTGTGACCCTGGGGAGCTTGGCAGGAATTTGCATCGCACAACTCTTCCTGGTCCTCATCCAATTTAAGTTTTCTTCCATTTCTTTGAATATGCAAGTCTACCAAGCCACCCACGCCCGGTGTGATTCCAACCTCAGGTAGTAATAGGTTAAAGGGTCGAATGATGTAAGTGCCTTCTTCCAAGCTACTGCCTTCAACGTCATCTAAAATAAATATGTTAAATTCGAATAGGAATATATGACTTTATAATGTCACGCGAAAACCGGAACACCCTAGACAGACATGTTTATACATCCCCGAATTGTTGTTTATAAGCAGCATTATATATATAATTAACAATTATTCGCCGAAGGCGAAGTGATTACCGGTGAATATTCACCGAGACGAAGTCGAGGTGAATATTCACCGTAATCACTGAGCCTGAGGCGAATAATTGTTTTAGTATAAATTTTTAATGAATAAAACAAAATATCCAAATATCAGTTCAATTAAATTTCAGAAATAAAACTGTTTTCGGCCTGTTCACTAACAGTGTTGCAGTGTTTCTTGTACGCACACGCTTTCAAAATGGCTTCTTGTGTGACTTTATTGCTTTATTACAAAGTTGTTTTTCTCGATTTCTGCTTGGAATATAAACACAATAACGGAATGACTCTTTCTAAAAATAGCTTCTGTTTAGCATTAATTTCTTCAGGAAATGGCTGAGGAATTTGGTAAAATGAAATGTAAAACTATATCGTTCGAAAAAAAGTTTTAATAACACTTTTTACTTTACAAGTTTCGAAAACACAATACAGCGGTCAGAACACCTTACAGCACAATGAAAACATGACATATCTAAAGAAATATTATCGTACAAATAGGGAAATTGATAGGATACAAAACAAAATTGTTTTAGAAAGAATATCACAGCTTTTCCCAACAGTCGGGTAGCCGGTTTTGCAAATTGTTTGAAGCGAATGTTTTAAATAAGTTTTAAATTGTCCGTGAATATGTTTGACACAGTAAAATAATAAAGAAATCCTACCTTTCAAGCTAAATACAACATGTTGTGCTTTTTTCGTTTTCTGGGACGATTTTTTCAATATTTTGTCGATTTTCAAACCAAATTTGCCGGATCGTTCTTTTTGAAAAGCATTATTTACTAGTCTGCTAGTAAATAATGCCTCAGATTTACTAGTCAACTAGCCAATAAGAACGCGCGAAAGCTCATTTGGTATGCAAAATTTATACTAATTTTTAATAATACGTAAACGATATGAAGCGGAAATCTTTCTTTAAATATAAAACACCTTTCTTTTTTCCCCTTTCTTTATTATCTTTACAATCAACAAAACGATTGAAGGTACAGGCAACATGCAGGACTGAAGAGTCACAGATTAAGTCCTATCTACACATTAATTGCAGTGCCGTAGGAATCTTGTTTTGTAAATTTAGAGTCTCTGAATGCCATTTCCTGGACTTTGGGGAAGATTTGACAGAATTCTGTTGGTCAGAAAAGAGCGTTTAAGTATGCCGAAATTTATAATTTAGCGTTTTAGTATGTCAAAATTTACAATTTGTTTAAAATTTAGTAGTACGAAATGGGCGAAGGCGTATTTAATTAACTATATATTGGATAAGTTGCAGGAAAGTATGCAAGATAATATCTTCATTCTTTGCAGTTTGTCATGGATAATATAGCCGCTTAAAATTAATCAATTGTCAGTATTTTAAAGGTATATTATTTAAATGATAAAGGCCTGCATGATTTTGAAAAAAGAATGATCATTAACAAATTATTTGGGGGAGGGCTGCCGGTTGCTACGGCCCTGTATTAACATTGCAAAACGATACAGACAGAGTTACAAACTTTAACGAAGCGACGACACAAAATTACAATACATGCATGATCAATGCGTTCCAAACCACCTTTACTCTTTCCAAAGTTAATTTAAACTAGATATGGACCGTCCACATATTGCAGTTCTTTCCAATTTTCAAGTCAACTACTTTAAAATTAAAGAGATCTGAAAATTGCAAAGAAGGTTTGGAAAATGACAAAGTTACAAAAAAGTTTTATACATGTAAATATACCAATATTGTGCAGCACTGATACAGTATTTAACATCCTAAACATGCAACGTGTTCCAAGCTGTCCCTGCATACACCTAATGGCGTTGCTTTATCAATGCTAAACAGTAGTCTAATTAAATTATAGCTATTATATTTACACTCTGTACGAATTTTTACAGACAGGACAGTAATTCACAACTATAGGACGCTGCGTAAAAGGCGGTATTCGCGGCCGCGATAACGTTGTAAGGTATCATATATTATCCTAGCTTACCTAAAACTTTCATTACATAAATCTTGCGCCGGAAGTCGGTGCTTACAACAGCATTTTCAGTCTGAAATCCTGGAACAATCATTCCCTCCGCTATTATAAGTTGTTCTTGATTCCTGACTTTAACTTTACTCCAGAACGGGTAAACTAATCATAACCGCATAAGAAATTAAAAGCACACCAATAAGATTTTTTGTAACATGTTTCCTTACCAGGCACATTCTACAAACTTATATTCAGAAAACAATGAGAAATTCGTTCAAAAATAAATTATAAAATACCGCATTTCCTATTTAGCCTCCGGCCGGCTTATTTTCTTTCAGTGATTCTTGACTGGGGCATATTAAGAAGGTAGGGATAAATAAGGGCTTATGGGGGCTAACTAAATGGCCACGTTTCTTAGAAAAGATATCTGGAAGATGGGTGAAGCTGAATCGAAGAATACAGTAACGGTAAAGGTACAGTAATTAAAAACACGCACATACCAGGTAACTCTCGTGGCTTTTGACCAGGTCTTCTAAGTCGCCTTCTCTTAGCACCTTCACTCAAACCTGAAGCTACAGCAGGAGCTACAGCAGTAGACGAAACAGGATGCATGGAAGATAATTGATTTGGAATAGATTGCTGCACCGATGGGACTGGCTCAGATAAAAACATGGGATTCGTTAGAGGCGAAGATGACGAGGAAGTAGAAGACATATATGCCAAAGAAGATATAGTGGAAGAAGATTCTAACAACGGAGAACACGTACACAAAGAAGAGGAAGAAGGAAAAGATGTAGAATGAGAAGACAAATGAAAAGTTGTCGTAGACGTTGCAGAGGAGCTAGGCGAAATGTAATTAAAAGAAGAGGAGCCGCAAGAACTTGAAGGAGTATTCGACGAAAACGTTGAATAAGTCACGTTAGAGGAAGTTAAAGAAGGAACTGAACTTACAGCAGGTACAAGACTGCATGTTAAAAGAGAAGACGAGGAAGGTGGTACATCAGAAGAAGATAATGTTAATGGATCAAGAGAAGAAGGAGGCCTTGGTGGACAAGAATTTAACCCCTGAGAGGTTTCGGCAAGATTAACACCTGTTGGTTCTGCCTCTTTAACTCGAATTTTTATGTTGTCGCGAGATTGAATTATTTTCCTTAATTGGCCAACACCATAGCCACTTGGTTTTCGAAATGGAATTTCGGGCAGTCCATCAACTAGAAATTCATTCCTGCGTTTATACGGAAAGGGTGTATCTTTTCCAGTAGCTTCACCTATAAATAGAATATACAAGCATTTATTACAAAGAAAATAAATTCACTTCAATTCTCGGTTCCAATTTGGTCAACAGATCAGTCGTGACCATGGATAGTTAAAGATCTATTTTCTTTTTACTATTGATGACCCTAAACATGTAAAAATCGATGATGTGAAATAGTGAATTTTATCTTTACCGCTGTGTAATTTCTTGGGTGATATAGCGTTTTCCTTGTCTACACCTAAACCGGAACTCCCTTCCACATAGTTTGCGTTCTGTGAAAATGTACAAAATTTCTGAAACTACAAAAAAACACAATGTCATGAAACAATTCTTACGGTATTTATCATTAAATAAATCTTGTACGTCTCTCCTTAGCTTCTCTTCCTCGGATTGTCTCGTATTTACTTGTGTCCCTAAAATTAAAAGAATTTTATCCAAAAGGTTAGAAACAAGCAATCGATTGAATAAAAAAGGCAGCTGCTTATTTTTGTCATTCATCCATTTATAGCGCATCGTGTCATTACCGTTAGTGAATAATGAAAAATGTATATGCTGTAAAAGTTCTTCACTTGCTCTATTTCTGATCGAATCCGATTCAGCAACAAATGCTTTGCCCTTTCTAAAGCCGATGACCAATGTGTGGCAACCATAATCTTCTAGTGTCTTGCACTGAAAGTTACATAATTAGAATATTATTAATGTAGGTTGTAGGTTGCATGGGGATAAAACATATAATCATATAGAGAGCAAAATTACTCAAATACGATTGGCTAATGAGGAGGGCATTTTTCCTTAATTAAGAACAAAATTACTTGTACTTGATTGGGTGAGACGCAAGCGCGGGAAGTTTCTTATTTTAAATTAAATAGGAATAAAAGCAATGGCTTCTCGCTTTTGTCGTCGCGGATAATGATGTTATTGAAGAATTAAAAATTTCTAGTGAAAACTTAAACACTAGATTATTGGTTGGAGTATTTAAGAAATGGGCAGGCAGGGCAGCATTAAGAAACATCGGCAAGACATGGAGACATACGAGGTTCAAGAACTTGACAAGTTCACAATTAACTTAATAAGTTTTGCCCTCTATGATTAACAAGTAATTGCATAGTTCCTCGTAAAATTAAGGTTTAATTTCACTTGTGTTTTCAAAGTTTCACAAATTAGTGAAACTTTGAAAACACAAGTGAAATTAAACCTTAATTTTTCTCGGCCCCATGCGATTGCCTATACTAATACTTTTGTTTGTGGAAACACCACGTAAATTTATTACTGCAAAGCTTTCATATTATTTGTTAGAATAGTAATAATATACATAAAGATATTACTCGACTGTGATTGGTTGATTTCAGTGCAGTTAATCCCAAACAGCAGTGCAATTTTCTGTAATCACAGTGCAATTTTTTGTAATCACAGTGCAATTTTCTGTAATCACGGTGCAAAAATCTGTAACAAACTGATCTGATTGGTGGAAAAACATTGTGATGATTAAATCAACCAATCAGTTTAAAGCAGTTTAGTTTTAAAGAAGTAACGGTCACAGATTGCTTCAAAACAAAAGAAACATGGCGCCGCGCTACACAAAGTAAAAGTTGCCTTCGCGTGGAAAATATGGTTTTTATCTTTATTTTTAAATGGAAAAGCATTTACCTTAATTAAATAAGACTAACAAAAAATACACAGTTGAGTGGAATTTTCAAGCTGTTAGCGTTGTATAATGTGATAAAACAAAGCCAGGAAAACTTTGCCAGTGGAATGTTCGCTATAAACGCGTAAGTTAAATCTACAATTGTCTCGAATATTTTTATGTAAATTATTAATAAGTAATAGCATGGTTTCTCGTGAAATTTGGATAAACATGCACTCGTGAGTTTTTCAAAGACCTCAAATAGCACTCGTCCTTCGGACTCGTGCTATTTTGAGGTCTTTGAAAAACTCACTCGTGCATGTTATATCGAAATTGCACTCGAAACCGTGCTATTACCTATACTTATAACCTTCATATTCATGCATTCGCTCGCTACTCTGGTTTAAATAAATGATTACAAAGCCCAGTCGAATTG